CTCTCTCTCTCTCTCTCTCTCTCTCTCTCTCTCTCTCTCTCTCTCTGTGTGTGTGTGTGTGTGTACCATGTACATAAAGAGACCCAAGGATGTCAGAAGAGATTTTGGCTACCTTAGAGCATGGGTTACAGATAATTGTGTGCTATCACGTGAAGGCTGGAACTGTACCTTATTTCTTCACAAGAACAGTAAGTGTTAACTGCTGATCCATATCTCCAAGCCCACTTACAGGTTTATTAGAGGTGAATTTGTAAAATTGGAAGATATGTGAGCCAGATTCTATGACAAATGCAGGAGATTGTAGTAAAAGAGAATTGAGAAAAAATGGCAAACATCAATAAAACACTTACGTGTGAGGGTAAATGATGGTTTATATATAGAGAAAGGCAATTGTTTGATCTTCAGACTTTGATATAAAGACCTTTCTATTTTTTTCTTGATTCTTTCAGCACTGTCAGTAGATGGGTATCGAAACATGAGCACAATAAGAATGTTCACGCCTTGTTCATCTGGACTGGAGCAAAAACAGACAAAGAAGTTCATCTCTGTGACTTCTATGCATTTAAAGAAACATTGTGTATGATGTCTGTGCACCTAAGACTCAGTATTATATGCAGCTAAAGGGAAAAAGATGCGATACAGGGCGATAATGAGTGTTGCAAGCACTTTAGGAATGAAAGCTAAATGATAGCAATACGAAGATTATTGTATACCTTTCCTCAATTTCGAGAGTTTTATGAGGTGCTCATGAGATCATAGTTTGTATCCAGGAATAGAATGTTTTAATATGTTTTGAACAAAAGTGGTAGTTGAGGTAATTATTCCCCAGTGAAGTGTGGCAGCAGAGAGAATGTTGTGCACCACATCCATTGTCCTTGGTCTGAGCATAGAACTATACTGTATTTCTAGCCTTTCCTGAGGTTTACTGAAACTCTCTTAGGAATGGTTGACTGTCAAGGTCTTGTAAATTTCTTCTCTTGGACAGAAGGAGATGATGTGTCAATGCAATGCTATAATGCCCACTGGCACCCACTCTATTGCCCCACTTTTGACTCTTTGAATTGAACTATGGAAATGCAATAAACATTGTTTTAAAAAATGATATATTAGTATTTGATATTCATGTAATAAATATTTAGAAGAAGTAGTTTATAAAGATAAACAATTTGATCAATGATTAAAATATATAAATTTATATTGTAAGCTTTGGAAACTGAATTTGATTAGAAAGACAAAGAAGAAAGACAAAAGGAAAAAACAGAAAAAGAATAATTATCCCAAACAACCATATATATCCTTCCTATATCCACCTATCATCCCTACCATCTATCTATCTATCTCTCTATCTCTCTATCTATCTATCTATCTATCTATCTATCTATCTATCTATTATCTATTTATCTATCATCTATCTGTCTATCTACCTTAATCTGGATCTCTCTCTCTCTCTCTCTCTCTCTCTCTCTCTCTATATATATATATATATATATATATAATTAAATATTCTAGGCCTTTTAAACATCAGATCAAATCATACACGAAAGCTAGTGAGTTAGAATAGCAGGTAAAGATGCTTGCTGCTAAGTCTAATGACCTGAGGTTGATCCTTGGAGTTCACATGGTGGAAGTAGAAAACTGACTTCCTACAAGTTGTCCGCTGACCTCCACAAAGCGTGATGACATGTGCATGCTGTCTGATGCATACACACAAACCTCCACAAGATAAATGAATGTAAAAAAAGATAAAGTTTAGTATCTGATAGCCCCATGTTTAATTTAGGTATATAACACTTCACCACGGTACTAAAACAAAAAGCATTTTAAAGAACAACAGAGCTGTGTTGCCATTAAAGAAAAACATTGCCCAGGAAATGACAGTGATGTAAGAAGAAGAAAATGAAAAGGCCTATATATTCTGCTTTGCTTTGCTCCTTCTTTTAGGAAGAGGTTGTTGATAGTAGAACCATCTAATTTCCACTCTTTCCTGCATAATTTTACATACTTAATAGCTGTGAAGCTCTTGTAAAGCACCTTCTACCTTCCTATTGTGACTAGGAGATCATTAAAATGGTTAAATAGCTCAGTTACTGTTGCTTAAGTTTTGTTAAATCTCTTTTTGCTACAGTGATTCTCAGGGTGGCTGAGCATCCATGTCAACAGAATGTGGCATCTTAACAGGATTGACTTTAAATTGCAGATCAGGGGTTCATACCTTATCTTGATAACATGGGACTTGATAAATCGACCCATTCCAGAAGAACGTCGAAACACCCTAGACATCTGATACAAAAGAATTAAAGTGTTAGTCCTAAGAGACATATTATTCCATGTATATCAAGTTTCTTGTGAAGGTCAGGTTTTTAGTTGATTTTCACATGGTGCATATTGGCTTTCCACGGTGAGAAGACTAAATGTGTGTTCGTATCCTTGCAGGAATGTTCGTATCCTTTCCAAAATGGCCAAATACACTGATACATTGTAAAATGAGATGATTTGCATGCACTGTCTGTGTCATAGCTCTATCTGTGAAATAAAAATGGGAGCTGGAAAGATGGATCAGTGGCTAAGAGTGCTTTCACTGAAATCATAAGGATAAGCATATGGATCGTAGTGCTAGTGAGACAACCCAGACTCCTGTAATCCCAGCTCTGGGGAAGGGGTGCAGAGACAGGAAGATTATTTGGGATTGCTGCTTTAAGCCTAGCCCTCAAAACAAGCACTCTGCCTTCAAGAAGAAACTGTGGTTCAAAGGAATAGGTAAAAAATGATATAAGATGTCACTTTATGTGATGCCCTCTTCTGGCCCTGTATGTTCTGGCCCTGTGTGCACTCACATAGACCCATATACACATACATAGAACAAAAAACCCAGATTTTTAAAAATTAAATAAAATCATATCATATATTTGATGTTAAGCAAACTGCTTACAAAATAATTTTAATCTTAATCAAGTGTGTTAAAGTATGTATTATTTTAAAGTATGTGTTGTTTTTAAGATAATACAGTTCTAAAAACAAAAAGCCCTGCAACCAGTTTGCAGCACTCTCATAGCGTCTAGTCCCCTACTGAAACCACGTTTGTTGATTTTGTCAGTTATTCCTGTATCAGTATACTTGAATGACTGTAACAGCATGTCTTGGAACTCTGACACCTCACTGTGAGTCATGTCTCTCTGAAACATTCAGGGCCAAACATCTAATACTAGAACTGGTAATGGGTTTCACCAAACTTCACTTCATGAGCATGACGTTCCTTAGTCTTTCCAGCCTGGACCTGTGAAGGATCTGAGATGCTTAAAGAACTTATTTCCTAAAGAGTCCTGATTGAGTGAATGGAATTTTATGTAGGAAGTGGGAAATAGTAAGAGCTGGAGAGGACAGGAACTCCACAAGGAGAGCAACAGAACAAGAAAATTTGAACACAGGGAACTTCCCAGAGACTCATACTCCAACCAAGGACTATTTGTGGAGATAACCTGGAACCCCTGCACAGATGTAACCCATGGCAGTTCAGTGTCCAAATGGGTTACATAGTAATGGGAAGAGGGACTGCCTCTGACATAATCTGATTGGCCTGCTCGTTGATCACCTCCCCCTGAGGGGGGAGCAGCCTTACCAGGCCACAGTAGAGGACAATGCAGCCACTTTTGATGAGAACTGATAGACTAAGATCAGAAAGGAGAGGAGAACCTCCCCTATCAGTGGACTTGGGGAGTGGCATACATGCAGAAAGGGGAGAGAGGGTGGGATCGGGAGGGGAGGAAGGAGGGGCTTATGGGGGGATACAAAATGAATAAAGTGTAATTAATAATAAAATGATAAAAAAGAGTCCTGATTGCCTAAAAAGGAGGCATGCTGAAACTGACCATCAAAGAGCACTGGGCTGACCAATGAATGTCAGAAGACACAGTTCTGTGATAAATGAACTAAAGCCCACTTTCAATCTAAGTCTTACGTGGTCCCATCCCATGTCCCAATTACTACACCCTCTGAGAATAAGGAGTTCCATGTGACTGTGCCATATGGTTTCTCCTTCTTCTTGATGCCTCAGAATTGGTACAACACTCAGAAAATTCTCCCTTCTAAATATTAAACCCATTTTCCTTGTGGCAGTCTAGTCATCTCCTAATTAGCCCATTAGTCACAGACTAATCACACATCCTTAGAACCCCGTGTTGTTCAGTTCTTCTTGTTCCTGCAGTGTTTCCTCACAATGACAGCAAAACTGACATCTAAAAATAGAAACCTGAGTGTATTACAGTCTTGCTTCCAGACAGTATCTCCCTCAGAGTAAGCACCATTATTATCATCCTCCTTTGTTGGTTCCATCTTAACACTGCCCTCACTTGAAAGCCCTCTCTCCTTGTCTTTGATTATATAAAAGAAAATATAAACATGAAGATCGATTTTATAAACTGATTACCATAAGGCATCCATTAGTAAATTAATGGACAAATAAAATATACTGTGTTTTAAATGCTCATTGGATTTTGGCCAGTCATGTGGAAGAGTGAAGTTATGTTACTTTCAGGATAATAGGTAAAACTAGAAAGTGTAAAGTAAGACAAATAAACTAGACTCAGAAAGACAAATATGACATTCTTTCTAATATGTGAATCCTAGATTTAATGGATTAAATATCTTAAACATATAAACATATATACATATATGACATAAAGTAATAGTGTAACTATCTGGGGAATGGAGGGGACAAGAAAAGGGAGAGGGTGGGAGCGAATAAAGGAGAAGTTATTGAAAGTGAATACGGTCAAGGTACATGATAAATGTGAATGCAAATGTATTTCTAGAACCACTTATTGTGTATACAAATATGTACCAACAAAATATTTTTTAAAGTGAAATGGGACTGAAGAAGTGGTTCAGCCATTAAAGACTAAATTCACAGCCAAAACACCAAAAAAAAAAATGTTTTAAAAGCTTCCATGAAATTACCCAAGATACAGTTCAGTCAGTATAAACTCAATGATGCTAACAAGCTTATGAACAGAAAATTCAAAGGAAAACAAAATTATCTATTTATTTTATTTAAAAAAAATGAACTATGATCTTAGAATCCATGGACATTTTCTGAAGAAATTGAATTCTTATTAACCTATTTGCATTGGGAACTCAAAAATATGATATCTAGTCCAAACTACTAATTCTATCCTTAAGCTTCTATGAACCAACCCTAATAATAACATTGCTGGTGAGTATTTCACCTAAAAATTTAGTGTCTAAAGAGATGATATAATTATTTGATCACCTTAAATCGATCATATTGTCTTCCCTGCTCCAGAAAGGCAAAGAGGATGGTCATCAGAAGAAGGAGAAAAGAGGGAACAAGTCAGGAGCCTGACACAGAGGACCTCTGAAAGGCTCTGCCCTGCAGACTATCAATGCAGATGCTGAGACTTATAGGCAACCTTTGGGCAGAGTGCAGGGAATCTTAGGAAAGAAGTGGGAAACAGTAAGATCTGGAGAGGACAGGAACTCCACAAGGAGAGCAACAGAACCAAAAAATCTGAGCACAGGGGTCTTTCCTGAGACTGATAATCTAACCAAGGACTATGCATGGAGATAACCTAAGACCCCTGCACAGATGTAGCCCATGACAGTTCAGTATCCAAATGGGTTCCATTGTAATAGGAACAGGGACCGTCTCTGACATGAACTGATTGGCCTGCTCTTTAATTACCTCCCCCTGAAGGGGAAACAGCATCACCAGGCCACAGAAGAAGACAATGCAGCCACTCCTGATGAGACCTAATTGACTAGGATCAGAAGGAAGGAAAAGAAGACCTCCCCTATCAGTGGACATGGGGAGGGGCATGTATGCAGAGGGTGGAGGAAGGGAGGGATTGGGCAGGGAGGAGGGAGAAAACCACAGGGGGGATACAAAGTGAATAAAGTGTAATTAATAAAGAATAAAAAAAAAGTACAAGCCACAAATAAAAGCAAAATATTCTTGCAGCAGTGCATGTAGCCGTAAATAAGCTGAGCTTTGCTCAGTTACTGTTGGTTCAAGGCTGGGCTTGGGGGTTTTTAATCTTTTTCTCCTTTGGCAAGGAACTGCACGAGACTGAGTTCTCAAGAAATACCAACTGGCTGAGGTCTACCTATGAAAATAAGGCACATTGTACAGGTGTCTTTTTAGTATAAGGGTGGTTATGCGCCAAAAGAAGAGTACAATGATAGAACAGTCTACTCTGGGAAAGCCTCCTGCTGACTCCGAGAAGTTTCCTTCCTCTGATCTTGAAAATTCTGATCAAGTCCTGATAGGCTAGGGTCAAATAGAACAGGAGGAGGACTTCCCCTATCAGTGGACTAGGGGAGGAGCATAGGGGGGAAGAGAGAAGGAGGGTGGGACTGGGAAGAGATGAAGGAGGGGGCTATAGCCAGGACAGAAAGTGAATAAATTATAATAAATAATGATAATAATAATGATGAAAATTTTAAAATCAGTTATTCACCAACTGTGATGGGTCTCAGATTGTTCCATCCTGTCATTGCTTAATTTTAATTGATTCTATTCTTTCCCATGAGTAGGCATCCATTAATAACCAAGATTGTAAGTTCTTTAAAGGAACTGACTTTGCTGACTTTAGTCTCATTAATAGCTTTGTACAAGGCAGATGTGTTATTAAGTAATTACATAGTCATTAACATTAGCTATCTAGAGTCACAGCCAGTCTTAATCAGCATTGTAAAGGCAAATACAGAAAGAAGAAAAACAGCAGCTCTTATATTGCTTTTTGACTCTTATTATAGCTGTCTTCATCCTTTTCTATTAATAACTTACTAAGTCAGCACAACTATAAATTTCCTGTGTTTGAGGCACTGTAGTAGATATTGGATAAACAGGATTAAACAAAAATAGTGCTGACTTGAGACTCAAAATAGACTTAAACAGTAATAAAACAAACACTTATTATCAAGTCTCATGAGTAAAATAATATAAGATAACCTTTCAAAAATTATAAGAGAGAAGGGCTCTCCAAGTAGGTGATACTTGAAGATGATGAGGTGATGAGATAGTCTTTGATGTGGTAGGAACAGAATATGAAAAAAAAAATAATCCAAAGGAAGGTCAATATGAGCAGAGCAAAGTGAGCAAGGCACAGAGTGCAGAGATGGGAGTAGCTGGAGCAAAGCATGAGAGCATTTGGAAACTTTGTTGAGGAGGTTAGATTTTATTTTACGTGTATTTAGAAGCCATTAAGAAATTGTAAGCACACAAATACAATATTGCATCTTCAGAAGGTCTGTCTGATTTCTTT